ATGAACCTCAAGAAAATCAGAGAGACAATTCAAAAAAATCATGAAAACAAGAAATTACAAAAATTAAAAATTCAACAGACTGTAGTTTTTTTTTTTTTAATCAAGTAAAAATTCTGGAACTGAAAATGACAAATGCATTAGAGAGTGTCAGAAACAGAAATGATCAAGCAGAAGAAAGAATCTGTGAACCCAAAGACATTTTATATGAAAAAAATGTAGTCAGAAAAGAAAAAAAAAAAAAGGAATGAAGAAAGATTAGTAGATCTATGGATAGCATCAAAAGGGAAAAATATTGAACTATAAGTGGTCGAGAAGCAGAATAGATAGATATAAAAACCAGAAAGCTTATTTAAAGAAACATTCGAAGAATATTTTCTAAATATAGGTAAAGATATAAATATCCATGTACAGAAAGTTTAATGGTCTCCAATAAGATTTAATCCAAACAAGACTATACATCAAGAAGTATAATTAAATTGTCAAAAGTCAAAGACAGAGAAAAGATTATAAAAGCAGCAAGAGAAAAGAAGCAGACTACACATATAGCTAGTTGTGGATTTCTCAGGAGAAATCTTGTAGGCTATGAGAAGGTAGGATGATATATTTAAGTGCTGAGGGAAAAAACTGCCAACCAAGAATACAGGAGCCTAGAAATCTGTCTTTCTTTTTTTTTTTTTGAGTTGGAGTCTCACTCTGTCGCCTAGGCTGGAAGGCAGTGGCCGCTCCCAGCCACTGCAGCCTCGACCTGCTAGGCTCCCGGGATCCTTCCGCCTCAGCCTTCTGAGTAGCTGGAACTACAGGCGCACGTTACCATGCCCGGCTAATTTTTTGATTTATTATAGAGATGAGGTCTCGCCAAGTTGCCCAGACAGGTCTCAAACCCGCGGGCTCAGGCAATCCACTCCCCTCAGCCTCCCAATGGCGCAGGATTACAGGCTGAGCCACTGAGCCCAGCTGAAATCTGTCTTTCATAAATGAAGGAGAGATAAAGACTTTTCCTGACAATGAAAAGCTGAGGCAGTTTATCTCCACCAGATCTACTTTTCAAAATACTCTAATAGGGATTCTTTAAGCTGAAAGGAAATAATGCTAATTAGTAACACAAAAACATATGCAAGTATAAAACTCACTGATAAAATTAAGTACAAAGAAAAACTCAGAATACTCTCATATTGTAGTGGTCGTGTGTAAATCACTTATATCTTTAGTATAAAGGCCAAAAGACAAAATTACTAAAAGCAATAATAATTTCAATAATTTGTTAAGTGCTAAATGATATAAAAAGATGCAAATTGTGACATCCAAAACATAAAGTAGAGGTAGGGAGGTGGAGTAAAAATGTATTTTTTTAAATATGCAATCAAAGTTAAGTTGTTATCACAAAACAGCTTGTTATAAGATATTTAAGTCTCATGGTAACAACAAAGCACACACCTATAGAAGTTAAAAAGTAAAGAATCAAAGCCACTACAGAAAATCACCTAACTTGAATGGAAGACAACAATAAAAAAAGGGAAGAACAAAGACTCTATAAAACAATCGTAAAGCAACAAAATGGCAGTTGTAAGCCCTAACCTATCAATATTTACCTTGGATCTAAACAGATGAAATTCTCCAGTGAAAAGACATATAATGGCTGAATATATTGAAAAAATATAAACCAAACAAGAACAAACTATATGCTGCCTACAAGAGACTCACTTTACCTTTAGGGAAAATGTAAAGGATGAGAAATATATTTAATGCAAAAAGAAAATAAAATACATCAGAGGTAGCAATACTTAGATAAAATAGACCTTAAGTCAAAAATGGCAAAAAGGACTGGGTACAGTGGCTCACTCCTATAATCCAAGCACTTTGGAAGGCTGAGATGAGAGGATTGCCTGAGCCCATGAGTTCAAGACCAGCCTGGGCAACATAGTGAGACCACTTCTCTACAAACAATTTTTAAAATGTCCAGATATGTTGGTGTGCTCCTGTAGTCTCAGCTACTTGGAAGGCTGAGGCAGAAGGATTGACTGAGCCCAGAAGGTTGAAGTTGCAGTAACCGTGATTATGCCACTGCACTCCAGCCTGGGCAACAGAGTGAGACTCCTGAAAAAAAAAAAAAGGTAAAAGATATGCCTTTTGAAAAGTGGTGAAAAAAAATTTATAAAAAAGGACAAAGATCACCCAGGCTCAGTGGCTCATGCCTATAATCCCAGCACTGCGGGAGGCTGAGGTGAGGGGATTGCTTGAACCCACAAGTTCGAGACCAGTCTAGGCAACTTGGCGAGACCTCATCTCTACACTAAATCAAAAAATTAGCCGGGCGTGGTGGCACATACCTGTAGTTCCAGCTACTTGGAAGGCTGAGGTGGAAGGATCACCTGTGCCCAGCAGGTCGAGGCTGTGGTGGTCATGACCATGCCACTGCACTCCAGACTGGGTGACAGAGCCAGACTTCAACTCAAAAAAAAAAAAAAAGAGAGAAAGACCAAAGATGGTCATCACATGATAGTAAAGGGGTTAATTAAGCAAAAAAATGTAACAATTACAAACATATATGCACCCAACATCAGAGCACCTAAATTTATAAAGCAAACATTAACAGCAGAAAGGAGAGATAGACTGTAATACACTAATAGTACTAGACTTCAATACCCTACTTTCAACAATGGACAGGCTAGCTAGAAAGAAAATCACTAAGGAAACATATTACTTGAGCTATATTTTAGACCAAATGGACCTAACGGACATATACAGAAAATTTCATTCTAGTAGCAGAATTATTCTTAAGCACACATGGAATAATCTTCAGAATGGATCATATTTTAAGCCATAAGAAAAGTAAGTCATAACAAATTGAAGCAGATTAAAATTATGTCAATTATTTTTTCCAGTCACAAGAGTTTAAAAATAAAAATCAATAAGAAAGAGAAATGATGTTGCTTATAGGTGAAATCTAAAAAATTAAATTCAGTAGCAACAGAAAAATAGTGAGATGCTGAGGGAGACAGTGGTCAAAATATGCCAAATTTCATTTTGAGGGGAGAAATAAATTCAAGAGATTTATTGTACATCATGGTGATTATAGTTAATAACAATATATCGTATACTTGAAGATTGCTGAGAAAGTAGATTCAAAAAATGTGTATGTGGTAAAGTATATGATAATTAGAATTAGCAATTTCACAATGTATACATATATAAAAACATCATATTATAGTCCATTAATAGATACAAGTTTTGTCAATAAAAATAAATGAAATAAACAGATATTTCATTTCTAATACTAAGTAGTATTATTTTTTCCAAGATTTTTTACTATTTATTCATATAATAGTCAACATATTTTAAGCACAATTTACCAGACTGTGTTCTAGTGCCGACATTTATTATTTTATTCAATTTACCCAACAGTATTGTAAGATCAGGTTTGTAATTATTGCCACTTGTAACACTAGTGATCTGAGGTACAAAAAATTTAATTTAGAATCCACAGATGCACAGATAATAAATGAAGGGAGAATAATTCAAAGTTAGGCACTCTGGCCCCCTTCCTCCACATCACTATTTAAAAATATCCCCTCAAAGTAAGGAAGAAGATTCACCAACTGTTAAATGACAAAAACCAGGACCTTAGTCATTATGTAGAAATAAATTCAGTGAAATACATATATGTATAACAAAAATGAAAGAGAAATGTCACAGATGATTTTTGCTTCTTTTCCAGTTTCTTAATTGTCTTCGTTTTTATAACAAATTTGATTTATCTTAACTTTATTTATTCATTTTGAAAATGTTATATTAGATTAACCTTCACTTTTATATTATGACGTAGCTTTATAGATTTAGCACTTTAAGATTATTTCTATAAAAAACAAGAATATGTTTTCACAAAGCACTATTCTCAACAATATTGACACCAATATAAGCCAAGGTATTTTGGAATTTCTACTCTCCCAGCTATTGTTATCAATCCTTCCACACTCATAAGTGAAATGGTAAAAATAAAGCATATTTAGGTGAGCTAGAAAGTGAATTATATATTTTATACTTCCTTTTTTGTGGACACAGACATATTCAGAAACTCACCTCCAGAATATGTGCTTCTTGCAATTGTTTTGATGTTTCAAAACACATCTGTATAAGGTCACAGTTTAAGAAATGCAAACAATATGCACAACAGATTTCTCTCACTGTTATTATATCTCTATTTCTCACTTTAAACTTGGTACTTGCAATTCTATTTTATTCATTCTTAATTTTAGGCAATGTAAAAATGTCTAATTTTAATTTTAGACAATGTAAAAATATCTCTTTTTGAAAAGATTGTCAAATAGAAATGCCATGCTTCCTTTCTTTATTCTCTTTCATGATTTCAACGTAGGCATTTATGATTATTCATGTAATTGATGTAAACTTCTTCTCAGATCTGAAGTACAAATGTAGCCACATATCTATTATTTATTTCCACTAATTGCTCAAACAACCATCTACTTAATAAACAGGAAGTTTAGCATATTTTCTTAGAATTCTACTCTCTATGAATAGCTTAAGAATCCGGTTGAAAGGAAGCAGTTATTCTCTGATGCTAAGAGGCTACTGGAGTTTGATCAGTCCAGAACTACTGCTGTTTCTCACTGCTACATGATGTTAAAATGGAAAACTCATCCCCTACCATGTCTGCTTGATAATGAGTCAGAATGACGCTCTACCACAGAGTGAGTATAAGACATCCATTCAAGGCTCCCCGCCCCCAGTCCTTTTTATAACATGGGATTCCAAGTTCAGAGTGATATGTGCCAAGTGAGTTCGTCTTAAGATCATTGCATACATCAGTTACACAGTAAAAAACAAAGGGATTTTTTTAAAAGCAGGTTTTATTGAGAGGACAGAGAATCTCTCACAGTGGGAGGGACCCAAGAGGGTTGCCCAATAAAGGGATATTTTAAAAAGTATATGTACCATCTCAGACAGCATATAAAAAGAGTGGATGAGTGTAGCATGGACAAACCTTGAGCCTTCCCTAGAAGGTGTACTGTGCTGGCAGGATATATTTTCCCAGCACCCTTCTCAAGGCCTTCATGACCTCCTTATTCCTCAGGCTGTAAATAAGGGGATTCAGGGCTGGAGTGACAATTGTATAGAAAGCAGAGATGATGTTGTCTTGTTTGGGGCTGTGGAAGGAACTAGGCAGGACATACATGAAAGTGGCAGCTCCATAGAACATCCCGACCACTATCAGGTGGGAAGAGCAGGTGACTAGAGCTTTCTTCCTTCCTTCACTTGAGGGCATATGGAACACAGTGAATAGGATCAGTATGTAGGAGGCAACTATAGCAGAAAGAGGGAGCAAGAGGAAAGTCACACCTGTCACATATACCATGAGCTCATAGCTTGAGGTATCGGCACAGGCCAACTTCAGCAAGGGTGGGATCTCACAAAGCAGGTGACTGATTTTCCAGGACATACAGAAAGGGAAGTGCATGGTGTACACAGTATGTCCTAGAGCACTCAGGAACGCGAGGTTCCAGGATGTGGCCACCATAAGCCAGTAGATTCTCGGCCTCATTAGGGTCATGTAGTTCAGAGGATGACAAATGGCCACATACCTGTCATAGGCCATGAAGCCCAGTAGGACATCCTCGGCACATCCCAATGTCAGTGCCAGGAACATCTGAAGGGCACAGCCTCCAAAGGAGATGGTATTTTCCTTGTGCAAAAAATCGACAAGGGCTTTGGGAGTGACAACAGATGTGAACAGGAGGTCCATAAGAGAGAGTTGCCCAAGTAGGAGGTACATGGGCACGTGAAGCTGGGCATCTATTGTGATGACCAGAAGCAGTAGGCCATTGCTGGTCAGGGCCAACATATACAAGACTGCGAGTATAGCACAGAGTAGTTCAGGAGATCCACTGTCATTCAGAATCCCCATCAAGATGAAGCCACTTGTCAAGGTGGAGTTCCAGAGCTCCATGCTGTGGTTTCTTTAGTTGCCTAGAACCAAATGCATTCTCAGTGAGAGCATTCCTAAGGAGTTCACTCTGGCTTTTGATTGTCCCAGATAACTGCATTAGCCAAAAGGAATCCCATGATATGATATCTTTTCTTTCTCTTAGCTATGTTTACTCTCTGATTTCTGAAATTCTGAATGTTTTTATTGAATTATGTAAATCATCAGCTAAGGAGGGATCAGGTATTTGAGCATGTTAGTGCTAGTTAATCATTTAGAAAGCCTTCAAATAAGGTTTCCAGGAGAACAGGTCCAAGCAGGTATCATTGTAGATAGATGAAAGCATCTCTTTCTTCATAATAAACAAATACACTGGGCATTAGTTTAAGATCTCACTTTTTTTTTGCTGAAAATATACATGAAATTCCAATTCAGTTCTTAAGGTTTTATTTATGAAAAACTCTTTTCCATCTTCTCCCTTAGACCTAATGAATGAGGGTAGTATAGATTTTGGAGGTAAATCTGGAGTAGCAATACAAAAGGCGTTTGTCTATTTGCAGGTAATAGTACCATGTTTACTTAGAAGGAGGCAGAAAAAAAGCAATAGATGAAATTTTTGGAGATATGGTAAGTTTTTGTGTTTAGGGCATATGACACAAAGGGTGAGCTACAAAGGAGGACACACTGCAGAAAGATCCAAAGCCACCCCGTTTCCAGGGAGTTAGAGCAACAAGATAAATACCAAAAATATTCCTCTACCTCACAAATCTTACTAATACAAGGAAGGATGCTGGTTTTGCTGAACCCTGAACCCATATGACAGCACTGGTGGAGGGGGTCGAGAAGGAAAGGAAGTAGAGTGTGAGGGGCGTGTAGGACAGTACTCACACGGCTTGCTCTTTTAGAATGAAGCTGTTTCACAGTTGGATGGAAGACTTATGAAGCTCTCTGGAAGAGAAGAGGAGAATTCGTGACCAAATTATTTATCCTTTCTTTGCATAACTGCACCTAGTCCTCCTATCTTCTGTTTGTGTAACCACCCTTGCCAACTCAGTGTTGGGACTTTTAAGTGGTAGAATCATAAAAGCCTAACATTAGAAGACTCGTCTAATCCAACTCCTTTCATTCACTGAGTAAATATTCACAAAGGACCTGCAATATATCAGGCCCTACACTTGATGCTAGGGTAATTGCATAGATGTGAAAAACATAACACAGACACCTTCGCACATCTGATAGTGATTATTGATACATGATGGAAAATATAACATGCTATGAGACCATATTAAGTGAGGTTTCAGGAGCGTCTGAGAAGCTAAACAGTGTGAAGTTTTGAGCCTGTTTCTTTGGAGTTCCAGACTCCACATGTTGACTTAAAACAGAAATAGATCCCTTACCTCAGATGGGGAGGGACACAGCTGCCAAATCTCACTAACTGCCCTGGAATTCACTTGAGGGATTAAGAGTTTCAAGAGGTTGAAGAATGAGGAGGTGGTTTTTCTGGTAGAGTTGGATATAGGTGTGTGTATGGCTGTGTTTGGGCTCAGAGGTCAAAGTCTCCTCTAGTCACTGGCATTGTAAGTCCTCTCTGGGGATAGAGATGAATGCAGATAGGTTTCTGAGAATGTAGGGCAGGATCCTGGGGAAGCAAGGAGCTGAATCTTCACAAATTTCTTTCATCTACTCTCCTTGTGAGGAAGTCCTCACAGTTGGAGTGGTTCTGAATGAGTTCTTGACTTTAAGTTCTCAGATATATTCCTCTCCTCTGTGAAAAAAAGATGAGCACAGCAGGAATTTGGGAAAAGAGGCATAGGGAGCGTTGCTCAAAGGAGATCCACTGGTAACCAGCCTCACTGTCCCTGGGGCAACATTGAACCAAGGCACTGGTCCCAGGGGAGCCTAAGGTCTCAGTCTCTCAACTGACATGTCTACTCTGTAAATGTTGCTCCAGGAAATGGATTTTAATGAATCCTCTGGGACATGTCTCCTGACCTGACATTTCTGCAAACTTCACCCACCAAATGACTCTGAGGCTTGAGGACTAATTCAGCTCCTCCCCTGCTTTCCCCCTCCTCTGCACCGACTTGCTGAGACTCCTCCTGACCAGTGTCAATAACTGATCCTAGAAGCAACGCCCTACTGTCCATCCCTCCGTTGAAATTATAAAATATGTCTCATGGCTTCTGTAAATGCTGCCACTCTCATCTCCCTCTTTGTGCCTCTACCCTGGGATATTACCAGCTAGAGGGAGTTAACTATGTAGTGCTTCTGTTCATATCAGGTCTTCCTTCACTGACCTTTAATTAGTAGCCAACACTGATTTATTGGACTTTCCCATGCTTTACCAGTTCCTTCTCTTTTTTTACTCCCATGCATGCATGTGAACCCATGGGCGGGGGACTCCATATTCTGTGATCAGTGGACTCAGCTGCTCAGATCTTTGGGATAATGAAACAACACCTGCCTCCACTCACCATGGCTTTAGTTCAGGATTTTCTTTTTTCTCACTCAATTCTTTGCTTTATTTTCATCTTTCTTCAGTCTCTCTTTAATCACTCATTCACCAGTAAAAGCTGAAAATTGCTACTGTAGTTAGATATTTTCTCTTTCATATTTAAGAAAATTAAAAATAAGTTTTCATTTTCTGATTATAAAAATGATATGCCCCCAAATTATTGCAGAATTACAACAGAAGAAATACTATACAATAATTTTTCTTCTCTTTCTTTTTTTTGAGACATGGTCTTGCTATGTTTTCCAGGCTGGAGTACAATGACACAATCATAGCTCACTGCAGCTTGACCTCATGGGCTCAAAGGATCCTCCCCTCAGCCTCCCAAGTAACTGTCACTACATATATGAGTCACCAGGCTCTGCTAACTTAATTTTTTTTTCTTTTTTTTGGTAGAGACAGGGTCTCACTATATTGCCGGGGCAGGTCTTATTTTTCTCATTATAAAAGTAATATACTGAAAAGGAGATATTAAACATGTAAAATGTAAGAGCAGCACTATTCTCAATAGAACAAAAATTGGAAAAAAACTTTTATGCTCATCAAGAGTAGAATAATTAAATATTCATGCAAAGGATTACTAAAGAGCAATCAAAACAAAGGAACCAGAAGGATGTACAACAAAAATAATAACCCGGCAAACTAATTTCTGGACGAAAAGAGAGTCCTCGGGATTATATATTATGGTACTCCTTTTATAGACTTAAGAATGTAAGTGAAAATAAACTTTTATGAATATAAACACATTCAATAAAACCATAAAAGTGAAGAAAGAGAATAAGGGACATAGGACCTGGGATAATAGTTATTACAGTGAAAGGAGGCAGGAAGATGGACTGCTGCCGACATTATGAGGGAGATGAAGGATATTGTCAAGGTCCTAGTTTGCATTTTGGGGAATGAGTTAATGGTAATAATCAATAGTCCCCAAATACCAGGCTTTCAACCTTTCTTTCTACGTCATAGGTAAAATAAAAATCACAGAGGGGCTGGGCGTGGTGGCTCACGCCTTTAATCCCAGCACTTTGGGAGGCCAAGGTGAGAGAATTGCCTGAGCCCATAGGTTCGAGACCAGTCTGGGAAATTTGGCGAGACCTCATCGCTACAATAAATCAAAAAAATAGCTGGGCATGGTGGCCTGGGCCTGTAGTTCCAGTTACTTGGAAGACTGAGGTGGAAGGATCGTTTGAGCCCAGCAGGTCGAGGCTGCAGTGGCCATGAGCATGCCACTGCACTCCAGCCTAGGCAACAGAGTGAGACTCCAACTAAAAAAACAAAACAAAACAAAAGAGACAATTAAAAAAAAATCTTAAAAAAAAAATCACAGAGGACTAAGTTCCTCAGATGTATACTTTCTTTCACTTCTTCATTATCTTACCTAGTAATTATTTTTACTCCTTGAGCGTCTTTTTTGTTGTTGTTGTTTGTTTTTTCTTTAGAGGAATAAGTTCTCCACTTTAGAACTGACTTCTCCAATTATTACTGAGATCTTTTATTTCTCATCTTCATCACCTGCTCTCTCAATTTCTTCTTTAATTTACATATTCTTTTTGTCTCTTAAGCCCTGTCTCAATCCTCTGATTTAGCCTCCAAATATGATTAAATTTTCTCTGTTAAAAAACTTTTTGATGTTCCTTTCCTTTCAGACTATTTTAATAAATTTCTCCCATTTTTCAATACATTTATTTTAAAATATTTTTCAATTGAAAAGTTAAAATTATATTTGTTGTGTACCATGTCATGTTTTTTAAAAAATTACTAAATTAAGCTAGCATTTGCATCACTTCACATCCTTGTGATTTTTTTTTTTTGGTACAAACACTAAAATCTACTTTCTTAGAAATTTTCATAAATAAAATACATTGCTATTAACTGGAGTCATCATGTTGTACAATAGGTCTCCTGAACTTATTCCTCATGTCTAACTGAAATTTTATATCCTATGACCAGCATCTTTCCAATAACTCCATCCCCTTCCTTTTGCTCATTTCTTAGTAACCACCATTCTATTCTCTGCTTATGTGAGTTCAACTTTTTTCTATTCCACCTGTGAGTGAGATCACTTCGTTGGTTGTCTCTTCACTCTCATAATTGTCTCCTAATCGTATCTATTTCTGCTTCTGTTTCCTGCATTATTGGGGTCATATACAAAAAGTTATTGCCCAGACCAATGTTATAGACCTTTTCTTGTATGTTGTTTTCTAATAGATTTACAGTTTCAAGTCTTATGTGTAAAACTTTCATCCGTTTTGTGTTGATTTTTGTATGTGGAATAAGATAAGGTTTAATTTCATTTTCTGCATTTGGACATACAGTTTTTCCAGCACGTCTTATTGAAAAGACTATAATTTCTCCATTGTGTTTTTGGCAACTTTGTCAAAAATCGATTGACAATAGTTGCATGGATTCATTCCTACGCTATCTAATCTGCTACATTTACATATATGTGTCTGTTTTTGTGCTAGTACCTTACTGTTTTGACTAGTAGAGCTTTGTAGTACATTTTGAAATCAGGTGGTATGTTGTCTCTGGTTTTGTCCTTTTTTCTCAAAATTGCTTTTGCTATCTGAGGTTTTTTGTGGTGTCTTATAGATTTTAGG